TACTTATCACGTGAGAAGTAAGCATAGAAGAGAAATAAGATTCCTGACGTACAACATTTGGGACTCCTCTCTTAAGATGCGTGAAAGAATGAAAGAACTTGGAAAAATTGTAGAGGATCTCGAGCCAGATGTTTTAGCATTTCAAGAAGTCACGCTAGACAACCTGGCAGTTCTACGAGAACAGCGCTGGTTTTCTCGCTACCATCTTATTCCACGAGGCGTTTTGAAATCCGATGGAAAACATTTTGTCATTATTTTGAGTGTCTTTCCTGTTGAGAAATGGCTAGTTCATCCATTCACAAATAATGTGGACTCTACATCGAATCGTGGTCTTGTTTTAGCAGAAGTAAGGAACACCATTTCTTCTAGAGATGTTGCTTTTGTCTTTGTAGCAACACACTTAGCATACGGTGGCTTCGGCACTACGCAACGCGAACAACAGTTGAAAGAATCATTTCCAATTATCTCTTCATACGACAATGTTTGTATCATGGGAGATTTGAACATCTATGAAAATATCGATGGCGAAGTTGTGCTGCCACCAGCTTGGTTTGATGTGTGGCTATCGATTCCCGGAAATTCAAACGAAAATGGGTTTACGTGCGATCGGTTAAAAAATTCGATACTGAGAGGTCCTCCTGCAGTGAATGCAACAAATTACAAGGCACGCTATGATCGCGTGTTTTGCAAACTGTTCGACTTCAAGGTTAAAGAAATGAGAATTGTTGGCGATGAGGTGACAAGAACCGGTATATTACCTAGTGATCATTTCGGTCTTTTTACGGTGGTTGAACACATAGAGAAATCTGAAACTGAAAAACAGAAACAATCAACCGGGAGTGAAAGTAAAGTTTATTTTAAGAGGCCAAGAGGCTGGGAAAAATTAATTAAGTAAGTAAAGATCACGAGGGCTGTTTCCTTCATGTTGCTTCAAGTTAAATTATCTGTCAGAAGAAGAACTGTAAGAAGTGCTTTAAAAAGTACTTTAGTTTGTAAGGTAGTATCTTTTGTTGCATTAGCACTGTAAATATCAGTTGTGTAATGTTTGAACATTGTGAGTATTGATTGCAGTTACTGTAGAATTGCATCATTGACAGTCACATTGCATATCACTTTGTCACTAGTTGATATATTTTGTTTGTACAGGAGTTAATTGATTTCAGCTTGATTTACCAGTTTGCATAATCATCAAATTACCTGTATATGTATATGGATTTTCTGACAGATGTAGTTTAGTTGATTTGCAAGTTGTAAGTGTTTTTGATCTGATTAAGCAATACATTATTCGATCAGTGCATGATTGCTGAGTTTATAAAAGTTACAGTTCATATATACTGCTAATTAAATGCAAATGAAAAAATTAACAGATGGCTAAAAAAAAAATTTTTTCATTGCTCCTTTTTTTTCTAAGTTGAAGCCTGGAGAGGTGTATAGAGGACCATGGACAAATCTCTAACAATATTCTGCTCTATTTCTGCCTCTA